AAAAGCAGCCTGGGATGAAAGCAAAGTGTAACAAAAGGTAAGCTAATTTTACCAGCTCCCCAGAGGACCTATTGTAGTCATCTAAAACTTACAAAGCCTGATAAGACATGGAAATTGACAAAAATTAACTTTGACAAGATAGCATCCTTATTTCAAACAAATTTCATGTGATAAATCCTAAGCAGTTTTCATTCAAACAGCAACAACCTGGAATCCTATCTATTGTGGATATAGTGACTAAAAATACACAGTCTCATTCAAATAGCAATGGTATTTCAAGCACCATACATCCATTGAAGTAAGACCAATTTTTATACTTTTTCTTGGTGTGGTTTTGATATAACAAGTCAAGTGTGATATCATGGAGAGTAATAACATTTTTCTACACCTGCTTAGCTTAGAGCTAATGACCACTATAAATCCATCACACTTTTGTCCGGGCCATTATGATAATTTGCTATGATGTGCATTTCTCATGTCGGATGGAGATGTGACTTACTTCATGTGAACTGTTTAAAGAGTGTTTTCACTCTGAGAAAAAGGTGGTCGTTTTGACAGATTTATCAGTCCCTTTAAAAGTCTGCCACCGATAAGAATACTGCCAGTTACATATTTCAAATACTCAATAGTCTGCTTTTGATATATGGCCATGTAGACAAGCCAATCTCACTGATATTCACAGGACACCTGCCAGTAGTCCAAGTCAGATGGACACAAACAGCAGCTCCTCCAATTTTGCTAATAAAGAGCTTTATTTGTATTTTTTTGTATTTCATGGCTTTTTAATCTTGACTGAATTTGATCTTCTCTGGTTCAGGGCTTAAAATACAACGGGCAATTTTAATATATACCATTCAGTTTAGAGCTCATTGTCCCCTGTCCATATTGTTCAACATTATTTGAAGTGATAAGCATCTTCAGTTGTTGAACATGTCTTCCTCTATGCCAGGGAATAAGGAGAAGTCTATAACCTTGGTATCTATTGGGTGACGGTGGTTATGGAATGAAAAAGAAGCAAGCAGGTGGACAGCATAAACACTATGGCTTGTTATGTAGTATGGTGCAGCAAGCTTTTACCTTGTGTATACAGTATTAGGTCACCTACTGTATAGCGACCGCCAAGGTTGCTTGAACACCTGCAAGAAAACCTAGTACCATCTTCAGCCTTGAAATCATGGTTGATGCAGGAGTTGTCTTGGTGTACACGGTCGCCAAGGAAACAACTTTAGAATGAAGCTCTGAAAACCTGACCTTTCTGCAGACATTAGCAGACTTGACCTCACGTAAAAGCACTGGAAATGGGTGCCTACATATGCAGAAGCTATGAAAATGGGATATACTCATTACCTACTGATTCAGGCTGAGGGAGAATTAATAGCAGGGGCAGACAAATAGAAATACAAGAGGGAAACTAAAGTACCTATCCAATGGTACAGGACAAAAAAATAAAAAACAGTAAAACATGTCATAAACTCACTGGCAAAGAAATACATACCAAGTTTACACATCAACTAAGGAAGTTGAAAGCACCTGACACTAGTCAACATAAAGAAATGAACTAAAAGGGCAACAATGATAATAGAATTTGGTGAGGACTGTAAAACATGATAATCAATACCAAGGAAATGCTGAAATACATGAACACTAAATGAAAACCAAAGCATAACACCAACAGATCATGAAAGGTATGAGTCTTGATTCATACTAATTTTTTCCCCTTAAACCTCTAGTTAGGCATGCATTTCATTTTTTATTTCCTCAATTAGATTTTATGCAATTTATTGTAAAAGTTCCGAAATTAGGACCCAGAATTCGGATTTTGACAGTTCAGTCTGTGCTCAGAGAACAAGGATGATTCCAGCCGAACGGCTGACAAGACACAGCGGACTCTGACAGAGAGTTCCAGACATGGAAGCCTAGAGGGCTGCAGAGCTGGCAGGAGATCAGATCCGAGCTGACAAAGGAAAACAGGGTAATCTACACGGTGAAGTCAAGAGGCAGATCCAGGTTCAGTCCACAGAAGAATCCAACAGGAGTCCAAAGACAGGTCAGGCAAACAGATCAGACAAGGGCAGGCAGGCTCAAAGGTCCAAATACAGAAACGGATCAGAATCAGAACACAATACAAACGCTATAGAACTCTCAACACCAAAGGCTTAAAGAATAATCTGGGACTGATGGCTGGGATCAAGGAGTTTAAATAGAAGCAGGAGCAGGTGGATCAGATGAGCAGTGATGAGGAACAGGAAACAGCTAGAGAGGTGAATAAAAAGAGCAATCAAGCCAGCCATCAATGGTAAAAGCATGACATTTATATAGATAAATTGACCCCTAATTGTGAAACTTACTGCTCTTATCAAGTTGAAGTCCCTAATTATATCACTAGTATTTTAGTGTGCTTATTGTTTTTTTTTTTTTACAAGAATGAAATGCTGTTGCAAATGTGAGATGTTCTTTTCCAGCCAGAGCCTATTGGGCACTGGTCTAACCAATCAAAACGTACTGTCCCTCTATATGCTCATTTGTCAGCTGGTGAATGAGTACACATATGCATGGTTTATGAAATATTTTTTCCGTATGGTAATTGTTGTTTAAATAAAGCTCGTGTTGTGATTTGATTTGTGATAGATTTTTAATCAACTTGTTTCAATCTAGGTTATAGAGAAAACATTTTAGTTATATCTCAGAATGATAGGATATGTTTGATTATTTTCTCTTTTATTTTTCCTTTTTCTGATTTTAAGTAAATGCCACTGGAATTTATAAAGAGTTGTAATTTTTCTTAAAAATTCCTGACCTAGAAAGCTGAAAAAAAGTGAGGTTGCATCACACTTGATGCAGTTTAAATTGTGGTCAAAGGTCTGCACAACATGATTTCAAGAGCTTCCCATTGAAATAAGAGGCATCCTGCTTTAGTCGCAATGTACCACTATTTTTTACAATCCATATCGAGAATGCACACTGGTAGTTGGTTAGTTTGATCAAATAATTGTGTCTTTTTTTTTTTCAAAACAAGGTGATTCAGAGTTTTAATTTATTCTCAAAATTTTTGGTTTCATTTTCATGTTGTAACACTGACTGCTGTTTGTACAGTAGGAGTGTTTAAGCACTTTTCTATCAAAACACACAAAAAGAAAAAAGTTAATATCAGATCTTTCAGAGGAACCTAAACCTTAGGTCATTAAACTTAATACCTGAACCTAATTTAATACATTTGGTTTAATGAGAGATTAGCTCAATTAATTTGTGGATGAGAAACCTAAACCTAAGGTAAATGGATTTAATATGACTTCATTAAATTCCCATTGGGCCTGACTTTGGGACAAACATCTGGTGTGTACTTCCAGCACTGGTTGTAAAAACAGCAACACCCTGCCTCTGCTCCATTCTTATAGAATTTAGTCCACACCTTGGAAAACCGTGATTTAAACCCTTACTAGGCCATTCATCAGAAATTATAAACACATCTGGCCTGGGGTCCCTTAATGAGCTGGAGGGTGTTCCTGGGGATAGAGAAGGTTTCCCAACTTGACCTTCTCCCCCTGTGACCCGATCTGGGATAATTGGAAGAGAACTGAGACCGGAAACATTTTTAGAAAACAAGCAATGCTGGTTCTTAGGATTAGACAAGACTAAAAACTGCCATAGTTGTTCCATTTCGGTTGCTTTTATTCTGATTTCACATTAGTTGTAACCTATTTTAAAATACAATCTTGTCATTTGTATTTTCACATGTATATTACTAAAGTACTTCTCATCTTTAGCTTGATTACTTCCAGAGTTTCTGTATGACTGAACTCTTGAAGCAACTTTGGCCACTGCCTAATTATCTTATATAT